ATAGAGATGCCCCTCTGAGTGGTTGAGAGTCGTAGCCAGACACCATCTAGTTCTGGTCTCATAGTCATATAGGCTGTGGATCACATAGTTTACCAGTCACTGGGACTAACTGTTTTCATGAATCTTTGGTTTTCTTCATTCTTCTTTGCTCTGGACGAGGAGAGACCCATCACTGCAGATGCTGAGTTCTTCAGGTTTGTTATTTCCAACTATACATTCTCTAAGCATAACCCTCTTCCCATGACTAGTTTCAGCTAAGAACCGTAGCCTACGAAGCAAAACCACCCTGCGAAGAGGGATGCTGAGTCTGGCCGCCCTGGGGTCCTCAGGCCCCTTCCCATCTCCCTGTACTATCATGTCTGCCCCTGGCTCGGGGAGTCAGGCATCTTAGAGAAGGGATTCTCTCTGCCTCCTCAGGTCTCCATACTCAATAACCTGCTTTCCCACTTAAACCTGTTGTGATCATTGACTCTTCGTGACGGGGGTTCCTACAACATTAACCATGACGTGTTTATGATCTGGTTTTCCCCATTTTATCCAGTTTGTGGTTGGCTGAGCTTCTGGAATCTGTGAGTTTGTTTCTCAATCTTTATCTCTGCCTGCCCTCTCTATCCTGGGAGGCTGACGTTATGTGTGCTGGACCTCAAGGCTGTGTCCCTTGGGCCCTGGTGTTCTGCTTTCCCTACTCTCTGTATCCTGCCAACTTGGGTATCTTCTATTAATCCATCTTCCAATTAAGTTTAGAGGTTGTATTTTTCAGTTTTAGAATGTGTCTCACACAATTATTCTAAACTCCAATAAGACAACGTTAGTCTTTGTATCTTTTGAATCCCAGCCAATTGGTACTGCTTTTCAGCATGCCTCGTAATTTCTGAATGGATATTGTATATTATAGATGAAAAACTGTGAAGGCTCCAAAGTAGGTGGCTTACCTGGGCAAATGGAGTACTGAGATGCCATTCCAGTCTTGCTGAAGTTTGGACTGTGGCTTTGTTAGGGCTTATCTACTAGGGCATGGTCCCTCTGAGATCTCAGCTGAAGGTATGGGATGGTTTGCCCAGGTCCCCATACCCTGGCAGGTTGTCAACTCTTAGCTGTTTCTCCCATACTTGGTGGCTCATAAGCCTTCTACTGGCTGTTTGTTGCTGAGGCTCCTAGAGTCTTACTCTAGTACATTCGCAGCTCGAGAACCACAAAGGGCATCTGTATGCTGATTACTTGGCCCCACTTCCGTAGTCCTTCTTCTCTGGGACTTTGCTCTCGATCCTCAGCCCCTATTTCCTTAGCCTGCCCTGTGCTTGGCCTCTCTTCCCCCAAAACCACCGTTTGGAAAATGCCCCCAGAGAAAAGCCAGGGAGCGTGGCACTTGTCACCCAGGCTTCTCTCTTTCCAGGAACTGCAGCCTTCAGCCTTGCCCACATTAGCTACTCTCCTGTGCCTTCACCCGACTGTTTCCTGAGTTATGTCCACCGGCTTTTACAGTTATTTTCAGTAGGAGGGCTGATGCAATAAAAGGTACCCCATTACAGCTGCACACAGACACAGAATCATCAGATTCTCATGCACTCACTCATAAAGGGCCAATTCCTAGAAGCAAGGTGTTTTCCTAATGAAGCGGCCAGAAAACTTCCCCCAGAGTATGCCCACATATACTCCCTCAAAGTACGTGTCCGCTGAGTTCCCTCCAGTAGTGGTCAGCATTGGAATCACCACTTCTTACTTTTTGCTTTAATCCACGTTTTCCTGATGACTACCAGTGAAGCTGAACACTTTCACGTATGCTATCAGCCATCAGAACTTCCTCCCGTGCCACTTGTTTATATTCTTGACCCACTGGCGACAGCATCACTCCAAGTCATCCATCCCACCTCCTTGGGTGTGTGCTTCCACTCACAGATACAGGACCTACACATACAAAGATTCCTGAGGCCTGCACGTTTTCTCACATTGGTATGGTTGGTCTATCTTGAAGCCGGTACCACACCATTCTAACTCTGTATGTTTTAATGGGCTTTGATGTACAACTCTGTGAGAAGTTTCTTTAAAATCATCTAACACCTCTCCTATCTTCCAAGACTTCCATTTTCACCTTATGAAAACACAAAAACATAGCTACCATTATCTTGAGTACCCACTTGGTTGGTCAGCCTTTTTTTGGTCGTTACTTGCTTTCAACCAAGGATGCTACAATTATCTTTTTTCCTAAAAAGCTGTTATTTTACAATTTAACTCAGCAGTCACTGGTTATGAATAGCAAACAGCATGCCAGCAGCGAGTCCCCTGAGAGGCAGGAGTGGTGAGAGCATGGTGTTGGCCAAGCCTCCACAGGGCAAGCACGCTGGCTTGCTGGCTGCTGCAGCTCCTGCAGGGGGCCATGTAGAGACACACGCCCTTGTCCAGCTGGCCAGAACGGCAGGCCCAGTCACTTCTGTGCAAATCAGGGTGGTCTGTCTACCACAATACCATCCCTCCTCACAGCATGGCAGTGCTTTCACGAGGTCTGCAGGTCTGGCAGAGACATTCTGGGAGAGGGACTCACTGCAGATACCCTGATTAGCTGGAAATCCAGCACACGTGTTGGAAGTGAGAAGAATCTGACCATATCAAAAACATTTCAGCATAGATTCTACATGGTAACAAAAACACAGGGAGGCTATCTTTAAGAAGTGAAAACCTATCTGCATTGACATTTTAGGAAAGGGGACGATAAGACTAGATTTAAAGAATCAATCTACCTCTGGAATCCTTTGGGACAGTAAAATACATGGTGCTCCAAGCTAAAACCTGTATTTCCCAAGACACCAAGAATTGGAGTTACTACAGCTGCTTCTGGAGAGCCATTCTGGCTTGGCTATCAACCCCACAAATGGGGAGCTGTTAGTTCATCAGTTTATTGAGCAGCAGTAACAGCACTAGAGAACACCCAGGTATCTGCTCCACCCTTGTGGGCACAACAAGGCCCTATGATAAAAACATGTAGAGTTTATTTGAAACAACAGGAGATCACTACAGAATTTGGAAAAAAAAAAAAAAGGAATACAGAAAAAATATGTGGTGACAAATATTTCAAGGAAAATTTGGGAACACGGTACAGAGCTCAACTTGACCACCATTCTTTATGACCCTCTGAGCACAAGTGTTAACTATGAAGTCTGCATGTTCAAACACAGGATGAAAAGCAGAGTAAAAGCACAGCAGTGGGACAGGACAGACAACTTGCGGTGCGTCCACACAACAGGAGTCGAGCGGTTACTGAGGAGAGCCATTCACCAGGAAGCAGCTGCAGCTGTGTGTCAAGGACGGTTGAAGTTCTGTCACTGTGAGCAGTACTAAGTGTTGGTGTCCGTGTCTGTGTGAACCAGCCTGAAGGGGGGAAGTGACACACAGCACACCATGCTAAGAAGGGGTTGGAGTGACTTGCTTTTGTACATCTCTGCATTATTGAACTTGTTGCAATACTTATGTAATTTAAAAATTCAAGAAAACAGCCATACTGCCTATAACTCAATTTATACCAACTGTCAGCCCCAGGAATGCCGTGGAGCCACATCAGCTGCTCCACGTGTCTGCGTGCTAAGCTAGCTCAACCCTTTCCAACCCCGGCCAGACCACTGGAACCTCAGGCCCCAGGCCCTGAGCAACCTAGAAACATGTGCTGAGCTGCCAACACTGGTCACTCTACTAAGAAAGTGATTCATCAAAGAAAGAAATAATAGAGACCTTTATACAAATGGTAAGAACTCTAACGGAAAGACGGTAATTCCACAACAGAAGAAATGAGCGAAACGAGGCAGCAGTGGGCGAGAAAACAAAGTCAGGTGGAAACGTGGACAGAAGAGAGAAAGAAAACGCATCTTCTGTTCAAGCTAACACATAAGAAAGAAAATAAGAGGAGGCAAGTAAGGGGTAGCGCCCACACTACTGCCAAACCTAAACACCGTTTGGAGGTCAAGATCCAACCATTTATAGGAATGACAACAGTACCCAAGAAAAGGTGTAATGTGCGATGGTGCTTTCTGCCAAAAGCCCCCACAGACCTTTCTGGGGCCACCAGGGATGGGGGCTGTTTGGGGGCTGCAAGCCTCTGTCTGCAGCACCCTCTTGGCCTCCCTGGGTCCTTCTGAGGGTGATGCCCTCTCCTCTCATGGCATGCGCCAGTGCTTGAACTAGCCTGTCTGCACCTGCTCCAAGCATGTGTGGGCAAGGGGCATGACCCCATCTCTACATTAACTCTGGTGGGATCACGCTGGTTAGTGCAGACAGCCAGGCCCTCTCTCGGGGCCAAGAGCCCCCATCAGCCACCCCTAGGAAAGTACCTAGTCTTTCTAGGAAAAGAAGGTGACACCAACCCACACGTCCCCTTCCAAAGTAAATGGGACATTTGAGAGCCCTCAGTAGAACATCAAAGCACACTCACTCTAAGGCTGTTTCCTGGGTGGTCTGTGTGGCTCTCCACCCCAACTTGTGGGCTGATGTCAAGTACCCAAGTACCCACGGAGCACGGCGAGCTCTTCCTCTTTCCACCAGCGTGGCACCCCACTCCGTTCCACTCCACATGCCTTCTTGTCCCTGGGCTGGTTTTTTTACTCCAGTCACAATTCCATGCTGCCCTTCCCCAGCACTCTGTGTGGGGCTTGACTCTCACTGCAGGCAACATCTCTCTGTCTTGCCAGGACAGAAGGCAGGGCTGTTCTTGCAGATCCTGCTCTGACAATCCTGCTGCACTCACCTCTTCCCACATGAAGCCCACAGCCCATATGTGTCCTGTCTTGAAAGCCACATCCTGGGTGGCCTTGAGCAACCACAGATGTCTGTGCCCACACCTGGGGTCAAAGATGAGGAGGAAGGGATGGACAGACAGCCAAGAGCATGACAAGCAGGAGTCCACCTGAGACTAACACTCCTCACTTCACACACCAGTACCGCTAGTTCCCTATGTAACCAAGGTAACACAACCAACACACGAGTTAACTTCAGCCTGCCCTGTGCCTGAGATGTACCTGAAGGAAGAATGCTCCCCGTGGGCTGGCAGTGAGGCAGGTGGTGCGGGGGTCTGCGCATACGGGGGCAGCGCCATGGGCTGGGTGCCCTTCCTGATGAGTTTCCCGGTGCTGGCGTCATAGATGCGGGCCTCAGGCCCAGGGGGACTCCTGGGGTGGACAGGTGTGGGGTGGAACAAGGCCGCCTGGAAGGTGCTCTGTCTGTCGGCGAAGGCCGTGGGGCTGGTCTCCCTGCCAGACAAGAGCACATGTGAAGGCACAGGGCAACCCACTAGACCATCCCCAGGGACTTCAAGGCAGACGCATGTGGCTTGTCTTCAGTTCCAGAGCCCAACCCAGCATGGAGAAGCTGGAGACAATACCTGTCCCACCAGCCCTGCCAGCCTCGTGCTCAGCAGGCTTTGTGTGCAGAGACGGTGCCATGCTGGCAGGCGCCTGCCCCACCAGAGTCCACATACACACACTTCCCACTTATTGGTGACTACGAACATTCCATCGTCATGTTTTCTGACACCTGCTTCTGAGCCTTCTGACAGAGAACAGTAATTTTTTAAGCCTCTCTCAACAAAAGAGTTCATTCTTATGACTTGTTGCTTTTCTTGATACATGTGACTCCTGCCTCAGAAATACTTAAAATACACCTTTTCCATATTCCTCACCTACCTCTCTACCCCTCTTCCTTCTCAGTGGTATCACAGAACCTGCGGTAACTTCACAAGGAAGACCCTGTGGTGACTTCGTGAGGAAGACCCTGTGGTGACTTCGTGAGGAAGACCTCATGGAAACGTTGTGAGGAAGACCCCATGGAAACTTCGTGAGGAAGACCCCATGGAAACTTCGTGAGGAAGACCCCATGGAAACTTC